TGGAAGTGGCATCAAATCATAGACAAACGACGATAGCAAAAAACATAGGGGTCCGTTTGGTATGTGTTTCAATTTTGAGTACTTATTTTAAAATTTCTAAAATTGCGTTTCGTTGGTCATTTTAAAAAATTATTTTTTAAAACAAAAAACTATAAAACTCGTTTGTTATGAAATTTTGAAAAATTGTTTTATGACATTTTATTCAATGAAGTTTGATTATTCAGTAAAAATAAAATAATTTTATGTTAATATATTATCATGTAATATTATATTTTTAAGTTGATAAATCTTATAATTTTTTTCTCGCTACAAAATAAAAATAAAAAATAAATTGGGTTTAAAATATATGAAATAAAAATAAAAACTAATGATGTGGACCGAGAATATATGAATTTTTGCATAAATAATCATTGAGAGCTTGAACTATTTTTATTTTTTAGAAATTTTTATAATTTTATTTTTTAAATTTTGAATTTATTTTTCTCGATTTTTACTTTTTTAAAATTTTAAATTTTTATTTGTCAGAATTTTATATTTTTATTTTGTAAAATTTTATTTTAATGCTTGTTTTCCATATTTTGATTGTTTTCAGAATTTTTACTAAAAATACTCAACACATTAAAAATGTTTTTTGAATCTTAAGTTATAAGTTTATCCTTGTTTTCAAAATGTTTTTTTAGAAAATATGGTTCACACAATTTGAGTGAACCGAACAAAATGATAACTACTCTATTTACTTGTGACTAAATCTAACTACACGTCTTTAGTTATAAAGTTCAATCTAAAAAATTGTACACAACATCCTATCTGCAAGTTTGTTTCTATGGAAAGGATTTCGTCATAGTTCAAAGCTTTTTTTTTTTTGGCAATTGGGAAAATGTCTAGATATAATGGTAAAAAAATTTATCACTTTTATTGACAATTTTCATGCAAAATAAAGCCAAACGAATGATATTCGATATAATAATAATTTTTTTTTTTTTGCAATTGGAACAAATCCTAGACACAATAGTAGAAAAAATTATCAATTTAATAGACAATTTCCATAAAAAACGAAGCCAAACGGATACCAAACTTTCAATATTTTACATGAAAAATTATATCAATCAAACACAATTAATTACAATTGTCAGTAAAATAATTTTTAGGCAAATCAATTCCCTGTAAAACATTTTTTTTCCACTCATTTTCCACATTTGCAATCAAACGGATCCTTAATGTGAAATACTTGGCAGACGACAATATTGATAGGTTTAAAGCCCGATTAGTTGCTAAGGGCTTTACTCAAACCTATGGATTGGATTACCAAGAAACGTTTGCCCCAGTAGGAAAGCTGAATACCGTTAGAGTCCTTATTTCGCTTGTTGTGAACAATGAGTGGCCTCTCCAACAACTCGACGTGAAGAACGCATTCTTAAATGGGGATCTCACGGAATAAGTATGCATGACAACCCCCCTTCCCAGATTTTGAAAATCACAACAAAAATAAAGTGTGCAGACTCCAGAAGTCATTATACTGATTGAAACAATCTCCACGTGTCTGGTTTGAAAGGTTTACATGTGTATGGAGAGGTTCAGGTATACTCAAGGACAGTCTGATCACACTTTGTTCTTCAAGTTCTCACCCGACAGTAAACTCACAATCTTAATAGTATATGTTGATGACATAGTTCTTATAGGAAATAATTTGGTGGAGATGAAGAATTTGGGATTAAGGACTTGGGGAATGTCAAATATTTTTTGGGAATGGAGATAGCAAGAACCAAGGATGGAGTTTCAACGTCCCAATGAAAGTATGTGTTAGAGCTTCTTCAAGAAACATGAATGCTTGGTTGTAAGCCGACTGCTATACCAATGGAACCAAATGTGAAACTTGGTAATTCGAAAGATACTCCACCAGTTGATAAAGGGGGGGTTCCAAAGGTTAGTAGGTAAGCTTATTTACCTCTCTCATACTTGGCCTGATATATCTTTTTTAGTAAGTGTTGTGACCCAATTTATGCATAGTCCTATAGAAGAACATATTGAAGTTGTTTACCGAATATTGAGATATCTAAAATTGGCTCATTGGAAGGGTCTGCTTTTTGGGAAACACTCTAACAAGAGTATTGAGGTATATTCAAATACTAACTGGGTAGGCTCAATTACTGATAGACAATCAACTTCTAGGTATTGTATCTATGTATGGGGAAATCTTTTGAATGGAGAAACAAGAAATAATCCTCGGTGGCACGAAGTAGTGTTGAGGCCGAATATAGATTAGTAGCTTCGGGTGTGTGTTTGAGGCTCTATGACTTAAAAGAATGCTGGAGGAATTAAGGATGACATTCAAACCCTAATATCATGATGCTTTGTGATAATCAATCAGCTCTTAGCATAGCACACAATCCGATGTACCATGATCGAACCAAGCATGTTGAGATTGATCGGCACTTCATCAAGGAGAAAATTGATCAAGGGATAATCAAGATTATACATGTTCCTACAAGATTGTAGATAGCTGATGAAGTGCTTAAATTTCACTTTGATTTAACTCTCATCTCGAATGATTTGACTTGAGTGCTTAACTTTCACTTTGATCTTCATTCGAGTCCGATTTATGATCTGTTGATTTTGACGATACTTGATTGATTTTAACGTTGAACTATCATCACTCAAAATCAATTGTTAGAAATAATATTAATATTATTTTTTATAATCAAAACATTAAGGATGAAATCAACCATATGTCAACAAAGAAGAATTCAGTTTGGAATGCTATTGGAGTTATATGTCAAATTGAAATTCTATTTTCGAAGCTCATTGGAAGTTGAAAATTAGTATTGGACTTGAAGAAGAGTTCGGGAAGGAGAAAACAATTTGAAAAATAAAAATTCCAGCAGAATGCCCGACGATGAGGCCCCCGAAGGTGGGCGCCGCGAAGCCACCTGACATGTTTCGGGTTTTCCGCGTTTTTCTCTCCTTTTTCATTGTGGACTCTATTTTTTGATATCCTACTTCATCAACAATTCTACTAGGAGGGTGTAGACGTTCCCTACATGTTCTCTATAAATATTAAGATCTTCTATACAATTCCATAAGTTCAAGAAAATAGATTACTAGAATTATATGATCTATTATAATTTTCTCTTTTCTCCATTATTTTTGAGTTAATAAAATATTTTAATTCTTCTACCATAATTCTTGTCTTTATTATTCTTTTATTTGATCTAATACTTCATTATTTGCCATATAATTTTAACAATTCATTCCAGTGGTTGGTTTCATCAAATGGTATTCAAATAATACATAATTATTGTATTTTCAACATTGCTAACAACGATCCAGGTATATTTATATTTTTTATAACAAGAGATATTTTGATTATTTCATAACAATACGGAACAAATAAAGGACGTTCAAACCCTCATAAGAGAGTTGTAGATGAAGTAGAATAGCAAAAAACAGAGTCCAAAACGAAAAATAAGATCAAAACAGAAAAAAAGTATAACTGGCGCCTCAGCGCCACTCACCAGGCGCAGCAG